TTCATTGTTTAGTATTTATTCATTGTGTATTAAGTATAGTACCTAGTAATGTCATCACAAACTCAGAAGCGAAAGCACAAAACATTGACAATTAAAGAAAAATGTGATATTTTAGACCGCTTAAATCACAATGAAACTTTCAGTAGTTTAGCAAGTGAATACGGCGTAGACCGATCTACAATTTATGACATTAAAAGAAACCACGAGAAGATCAAAAAGTGCGTGTCAACAGATACTCAAGAAAGCTGAATATCCAGAAATGGAAGAAGCTTTGTACATATGGTTTCTTCAAGAAAGAAATAGGCATGCATCAATTTCAGGACCCATGTTGGCCATGAAAGCTAAGTTTTTTTATAAGGAAATAACAAAAAAAGATGATTTTGTAGCCAGCAAACGATGGCTAGAACATTTTAAAAGTCGTGATGGCATACGTTTAATGACTATTACAGGAGAGAAACTTTCTAACGATGCCACCTGCATAGAGCCCTTTAAATTAAGATTTTTGCAAAAGGTGAACGATTTAAATCTTGACCCGTCACAGGTGTACAATGCAGACGAATCAGGGCTTTTTTGGCGTGTGATGCCAAACAAAACTTTCGTTTCTTGTAACGAAAAATCCGTACCTGGACGAAAAGTAAGTAAAGAGCGTGTAACCATACTACCATGTGCTAACGCTGGGGGCACACACGCGCTTAAGATCATTCGGAAATGTAATAAACCACGGGCATTCAAAAACATTAATTTACCTGTACACTATTACGGACAAAAAAGTGCATGGATGACAAAAGACCTTTTCAAAAAGTGGTTTGATGAATGCTTTATTCCTGAAGTTAGAAAATGTTTAAAAGATCATAATTTTCCCCAAAAAGCGTTGTTGCTTCTTGATAACTCACCCGGTCATCCGTCTGAAGAAGATCTAACAACTGATGATAAATGCATCACTGCGATGTTTCTTCCGCCAAATTGCACTACACTGATTCAACCAATGGACCAGAATATCATTCAGTTTGTCAAGCAAGACTATAAGAAAAACCTACTTCTGATCGTATCAAAAGACCAACCAATAGAAAAAACTTTAAAAGAATTTAATATGAAAGACTTGGTTTTTGCTCTTTGTCAGTCGTGGAATGCGTTACCGTCATCAACTATTAAATCGTCTTGGAAAAAGTTATGGCCAGATATAGTCACCAATCCTAACAACGTTCCACAAATCAGTGTTACTTCGGAAGTTATAGAACAAGTCGCTACTGAAACACAGATAAGTCCGGAAGATTTGGAAATCTGGTGCCGTGGAATGGATAAAGAGGAAAATGTTTTTCATGAAATTTCTGACGAAGAGATTATAAAAGAGGTTTCTAATTATACAACAAACATTCAGGAAAATAACGACGACGTGATTGCAACTGCTCCACAAGTCACAGCACAAGACGCAATTAACGCCTTTGAGCTAGGTTTACAATGGGCTGAAGAGAATGGTACAGCCTACAAAGAACTTTTACTTTTGAGAAGACTGAGGGACAAAACTCTGATCTCGCGTTATAACAACCTTAAACCAAAAAAATGGTGAATATTTCCAAGCATCATAATTTGATAAATTCATTAATGATTTTGATTAATAATTCTTGATTATTTTGGTACATATGTATGTGCATTTATGCTTAATTTTATAATAAAACGTAAGCTCTCTATTGTTATTTAATTTTCTAAATTTGACATGCATAAACTATGTATGATTTGCACTTCAAAGTACATACATATACATAACATATAAAATCTTACCATTGGATACGTAATTTGTCGGATTACAAGGTACTCTTTTGTAAAAAATTCCGGACTATAGGGGGTCTTAGGCAGTGCTCTATAATCCGACAAATTCGATAGTCCGACACTGCCCTGCATATTGTTTGTCGGATTACCGGAGGTCCACTGTATTTTGAAACGGCCATCATGACTGCGTTTTGGGGATGTTTACTGAATCGTATTAACGCCACAAGTAAAAAAACTTCAGAGTGTGGAAATTTACATTACCGTTGTCGTAGAACTGTATGAGGTACTAATACATTTAATTGGTGAAACAGTAGATAACTTCGATGATTTGCACAGTAGTATGAAAGAGATGCTCGACGCAATCGTAAGCTACTTCATAGCGAGAAAAATACAGCTGTAGAGATGCAACAAACGAACGGTCGCGAAAATTTCAGAAGCACTACTTTTTTGGTAATAATTGATACATTGTTAGAAGAGCTCAAAAAACAACGTGATGCTTATAGACTACTCTACAATAAATATAGCTTTGACGAAACTAAACGCGTCTGAATTCGAAGAAAAGGCCAAAGAATTGCAAATGGTTTATTCTACTGACTTAGAAGACAAGTTTTCAGAAGAATGTCCCCATTTTCGTGCTCACTACGGTGTAAAAAATGAGAATCGAAAATGAGCTATCAGTTTGTTGAAATGGTTACGAACCAAAGGTCTTCAAACCATTTACCCAACCGTGGATATTGCTCTTCGTATGTGTGTGTGAACCCCCGCCAGTAACTGTTTCGGAGAACGATCGTTTTCTCGTTTGCAACGAGTTAAGAATTATTTACGCACGGATCTTGCTTTGCTCAACATACAATCAGTTTTTTTAAGGAAACTGGATTGTGAAGACTTAATGATTTTGCTGCGTTTAAGTCTAGACGAGTTTTGTTACATTGTGAAACACTTATTTTTTATTGTATGAGAATGAACCTATAGTTAAACTAGTTGAATAAATAAACCCTAAAGCCGTTTTAACTGCTTTATTTAAATGTGTAATTATCCTTGAAACATTGGAAGGTATTACAAACTAGCAACTATCATCATCACTTGACTAAATTTCTGAATTAACTTCGATCAAAGTTGGCAACAAAGTAAGTTATGTAGTCTATATAATGAGTACTGAGAAAGGGGCGGCTACCTGGTCTTGGGGCTAGGGCGGCCAACACTGCAAATCCGCTACTAGGTAGGGTTGGAATTTAACTTTTAACGCTTCAGTGAGCTTCTGCCCGGTCATCCCTTTGTCAATGGTGACTCCGAGATACTTAGCAGAACTTTCTCATGGTACACGAGCTTCATTCACTGAAACCTCAGACGGCGTTTCGCTACGATTTTTAGTACAATAGATAACTTGCGTTCTCGAATGAATGATCTCGAACAGCCATCAGTCCGCCCATTCCAATACCTCGTCCACCGCGCTTTATAGCCTGTCGTGAACCAAATTCCCAGAACACGACTGGGCCTTCAAGGCAAGGGTCATCAGCATATAGTTAGATTTCACAGTTGCTGGGGCAAGGGACATCATGAATGAAAAGTGAATGAAGGATTGGTCCAAGAATCGAACCCTGAAGGACACCGGTTTTGATGGGCCTTGTTGTTGACAGAACGTTATTAATTTTGGTCCGAAAATGTTTACACTCAAGGAATGGTTTCAAAAGTTTTAGTAGCCAGAAGAGGCTGAATAAATTTGTAAAGGATGCTCTTGAGTGTATGCCACACCTTGTCAAATGTCTTTAAGACATCCAGAAGTATGATGCCAGTACTATCGTTACGGATCGTTCAAATCAACTACTTCCAGTGAATAAAGAATTGTGAAAAGTATGTGCACTTCTTTCTCTAAGAATAATCATCTTTGTTAGATTATTGCAAGATCATTAAAAAAAATACGGACATGTACAATCTCGCGTTTGGGCATGTTGTGTTTTGTCTGGGCATAAATGGACTACGAATGGCGAATGGTATAGGTAGGTAACTTAACAATTTAAAATAAAAGATAAAGGTTTTCTGTGTCATACGATGACACTGACTGATGCTAAATGTTCTTGCTGATATCCATGATTATTGTTTTTGGTCGTGCATTCTATTATTTTCAGTATTAAGTTAGTCAAATTTCATTATATGCTCAAATAGCTTCACAATGTTTGAAGATAGGTATAAAGTTTATTGTACAAAAATTGCTGAAAACTAAAAATTAAAAATACTCCATAATAATCCATTTAAAAATCTAAGCTGTAACGCATTGATTCCCAAAGTGGTCTATATCGACCCCTAGGGGTCTATGACAACCTGCAAGGGGTCTACGTCAGCGAAAAAAGTTTGGGGGTCCATGAAATGAATATGGGGGTCCACGATAGTGGATCTCAACACATACACTGATAGTACCTATTTACTTACATCATACTATCTTATAATATCAAAACATATACATTATTTATAAAAGTACCTATGAAGTAAAAAATTTATTATATACGTTTATAAAATTGTGTAAGTTGTAGGATGTTGGTATTCGCAATACATTTTGAACTTGTAAAAACATGAGAGTCGCAGTCTCAGAGCTTTGCTACCTTGCAGTGACTTGTTCAATTCGTCACTCTATAAATACGAATTTGGGACAAATACGTTTATTCGTTTCCTGAATCTTGAAAAGGAAAGTGCTAAGAAAATATTTTAAAAAATATAGACAGATAGTATATCACACAAACTATAAAGAGTCAGTGTTATTTTGTTTCAGAGTGCTGGAGAAAAGTAAGTACATTATTTTTATTAAATTTTAGTTTTGTACTCGTAGTTAGCAAAGATAGATAAATTACGCCAATCATGACTTTAGTTATTAGTAGTTAAATATTCAATCATGCAAAATTACACGAGTACTCCTCAATCGTTTCTTTTTGAAAGTTTTAGCAATCGGTAATATAATAACAGTGCAATCTCCGAATTCGAGCTAATTGTTGCAAGAAGATGTTCGAATTATGGAATGTTTTCGGAAAAATCAAAAAATATTTTTAATATACAGCTGCTGGATTTTCTGTCTTATTTAAATAATTTAATTTTGCCCACAGATGACTGATGCCATGTCCGAATCTAAAAAGAAATGTAGACAGTACAGTGCTGATTATTTGAAATTTGGCTTCATTCAATCACTGCCGGACAAACAATCGCCTATCTGCCTTTTATGCAACAAAGTTTTGGGCAATGACGCTATGAAACCATCTAAACTGCAAGATCATCTGAGAAGATGCCACCCTGATAAATCAGAGAAAGATTTGAAATACTTTCAAACACTCAAAGATAAATTTCAGAAGAGACCTACACTGGACAGAATGTTCGCTTCGACGTCGCAAAGAAATGGTGATGGTTTGCGGGCGTCTTACAATATCTCGTTAGTTATAGCAAAATCCGGAAAACCGCATCCTATCGGAGAGAAGTTAATTTTCCCACCCGTTGAAGAGGTTTTAAAAACTGTTTTACATAAACCTGCATCTGATATCATTAAAAGAATTTCCTTAAGCGACAATACTGTTGAAAGACGTATTGATGAAATGAGTTCTGATATTGAAAGCTTCTTATGTAATTATTTGCAAACGACCCATTTCTCTATACAACTGGACGAGTCAACTTTACCAGATAATGCAGCATTATTATTGGCATATGTTCGTTTTATTATGAATCAAGAAATCTACGAAGAACTGCTCTTCGCAAGAACTTTGATAACCGACACTAAAGGTGAATCAATATTTCATGTTTTGAAGGATTACTTCATTGAAAAAGCAATTCCTGTATCAAATATAATATCAGTAGCTACATTTGGAGCACCTGCCATGGTTGGACGTTATCGTGGATTTATAAGCTATTTAAAACAAAATGCGTCAAGGGTGTTAGCAATACATTGCGTCATCCATCGACAACATTTAGTTGCTAAAAATTTGAGTGTTACATTGCATGAATCACTTCATTTAGTCATTGATGCAGTAAACCGAATCCGAAGCAACGCGTTGAATACGCGGTTATTTGCGCAGTTGTGTGAAGAAAATGACGAACACTTTCATCAATTACTCCTTCACACTGAAGTACGCTGGCTGTCGAAAGGCTTATGTTTGATAAGATTTTTTGCACTTTTTGAGACTATTTTAGAATTTCTGGATACTAAAGATAAAATTTTAAAAGAAAATTCAATGAAGAGTTTAAATTTGATTAAAACAAAGTCCATCTTATCAGCGTTTCTTGCCAGAGTTAAACTAATGAAGCAAAATATTGGACGGGGCGAATTTTCTCAGTTCCACAACTTGTCACAGACAAGCTGCCAGGAAGACGACGTTTCAACTTACGTTCAACATTTAAATGCCCTCTATTCAGATTTTGAATCTAGGTTTGAGGATATTTTGACTATGGTAATACCACCGTGGATAATTAATCCATATGGTGACATAGAAGAAACGAATGTCATAATACAAGAGGAACTGACTGAACTAAGTACAAACGAACAACTTAAGGTTAAGTTTAAAAACGGATATCAGCAATTCTGGCTGCAAAAGAACATACCCGTTACTTATCCCGTATTATGGAATATAGCGAGGAAATTTTTAATTTCCTTTCCATCGTCATACCTAGTGGAAAGGGGGTTCAGCGCTGTTACCAATCTCCTAACGAAAAAAAGAAACAGACTGGACATCATTCGCCGAGGAGATTTAAGATTAAGCCTAACAAAATTGACGCCAAATGTTGATAATTTATTATTAAAGCATCAGGTTCATCATTCTCACTAAAAATATTGAATTATTGCTTATGTTATTTTATTTATAGTTTATTTTATGTTTATTGGTGTCTGACCGACAAATGCCCGCATTGGGAATAAGTGCCCGCAATGATTTTTTTAAAGAACCCCCCTTTATAGAAAATTGTTTTTTTTAATTATTCTGAATATTCAAGGATAGGTACACACTAAAATTCGTTAATTTTTTGCCTATTTTTGGATAACTTAAACGTATAAGAAGCGGAATTTAATCAAACTTACAGTGAAATTATTGTAGAACATACGTTTATGTTATAATTAATAAACGAACTCGCTTATTGTACTATTTTAAGTAAAACACTTCTTTTTACTATTTTTCACTTTTTTTTATTTTATCCTCTTATTTTTTTTTCAATGCGGGCACTTATTCCCAATGCGGGCACTTATTGGTCAGACACCTGTTTATTTAATGTTACGTATATTTTACATAACAGATACAAAATTTTATTTTGAGTAGTTTTAATTTAAATTCAATTAATAAATGTATAAATTAACATGTGTTTTTACTTCAAGTTTTTAACACTAAACTCCACTACAGTTAGAAATTTACAGGGAATCAATATCAAGTAAGTAGGGGGTCTACCCAACACGGAAAAACATGGCAAGGGGTCTACGACACAAAAAAGTTTGGGGAACTCTGCTGTAACGGAATATGTTATTTTTGGATCACCCTGTATTGTAGAAAAGACATCCCCCTAAAAATCAAAATTGTCGTGTCCGAGCGTTTTTCCCAAAATATACCAACAGAGACACAAATGTGGGTGCGACCTTTTCGTTGGGCCATCCTGTATATAATGTGGTATTTGTATGGTGTTTGTAATTTAAACATATGATTTTATTTAGCAACCAGACCAGCATGAAGGCCTATCAGGATAAATTTAAAGTATTTTTTCTTAGTTTTCTTAAATACAACGTAAACATTTGCATTTTAGCTCTAAATTGCACCAGACTATCAAAATCCAAAAGAAAAATAGCTTTTCTTTGCGACCTTTGATCAGGTATTCAGATGTTTGTGGCAAATTAATTGTAGATACTTGAGGAATGGAAAGAGGGAGTGATAGCTTTAGTTAGACAGACACTTTCGTTTTGACATTTTGCATTATTCTATATAATATGTTTATTCCTAAAACAAAAATGTGGACGAAACAATGACACGCTACTGTATTCAATATACCTTGGTATTCCATCATCCATTTTGTCCTCGGTTTCCTTATTTTACCATAATAAAATATTCCGCTTTTTGTTATAAATCTGTTCGAGCGTCTCATCTCTTTCAAGATATCATTCATCCATTCCTCGACCTTTCCTTCTATGTAGACTGGATTTCTGAATTCCATGACTTCTCCTTCAGAAGATACCATTGCGTTTGATATCACTCGATCTTGACTGTCATGGCTGAACCGCAATGACTTGATGTTGTCGAACATTTTGATCATGTGGTCCTGAACGCAATTGTAATCACTGCTCCCGAGAATAGACAACAACTCTTCGGTTGATATGAAGTAGAACCTTGGGAATCTTCTCCTTTTTGAATCCAGATAGTCGTTCAAGGATTTTTGGCACCTATCCAAACCATATCCAAGACCTTTAATAAATAAAATACTATCAGATATTCTGGTGGATTGTAATTTCAGTTATTCGGTTCACTTTTAGCAAGTGAGAAGCTTATCTAAAACCTGAGAAAGGGTAAACAAGTTGAATCAAGCTTACTGGAGATGACAGAACGTGAGTTTCAGAGATTTCAGTCCGAACACAGGAATCATTACATCAAGTAAAAAGAAGAATCAAACTAAAATAAAGCGGCAGGCATCAATTTGACAAGAGATAAAATGGCGTCAAGTAGGTTGACTGCACTTCCACCCAGCATCGTTATCAGTTCATAAAGGATTGTGTTCAGCACAAACTGTAATCTGTGAGAAAAGCCAGTCAAATATACTAAGTGACATATAAATCCGAACACCCAGTTTAAATGGTTTTATTTTAATAAAAGTTGGTGAATGTATTTATCTTACTGTAAATAACAAGTGACAATTTTTTCAGCCTTATCAGTTGGACATTCCGGTTTTTATACTGCTTTTTTTTAATTCACTAACGCTCTAAAAATGAATATTTCAGCCGCAGTAAAGAATCAACGTTGGCGGATTTTGGTTCTTGACATCCTTTACGATCGGTTACGATGCCTAGAGTACGGAGACCTGTACGATTTCGTCAACTTAGTGAGTTTGATAGGGGCCGTATAGTGGGACTTCGGGGAGCTGGACTTTCTTTTCGGGCAATTGCAGTTAGAGTGCAAAGAAGTGTCGACACTGTGGTTAGGTGTTGTCAGGCATGGCTTCGAGAAGGCCGTACGCAAAGAGCAAGGGGCACTGGACGCCGCCGTAGAACAACAGACCGTGAAGATCGCCGCCTAAGATTATTGGCCTTATGGGACCGTTTCTCCACTACCGGGTCCATTGCAAATGAAAGGTTTGCAGAACACGGAAGACCTATTGGCATGCGAAGTGTTTACCGACGAATGAGAAGTTTTGGCTTGTTTTCATACCGTCCACACTGGGTCCTCCCTTTAACGCGAGAACACCGATGTAATCGCCTTCAGTGGTGCAGACAGCGGTTACTCTGGGATAAGGAATGGAACAGTATTGTCTTTAGTGACGAGTCTCGATTTTGTTTAGGCATGTACGATGGTCGTGCCAGGGTTAGAAGGCGACGTGGTGAAAGAAGGAATCTACAGTTTTTTGTTGAAAGACATGTTCATCACACTGTTGGAGTTATGGTTTGGGGTGCTATAGCTTATGGTTCCAGGTCACCTTCAATCTTCATCAGAGGTAACATGAATGCGCAGCGTTATATCCACGAAGTTCTAGAACCCCATTTTTTACCCTATCTTGACACCCTGGCAGATCCAACTTTCCAACAAGATAATGCCCGACCACATGTTGCAAGAGTCACAATAGACTTCTTTCAACATAATGATGTCACATTGTTACCATGGCCACCAAGATCTCCCGACTTATCCCCAATTGAGCACGTGTGGGATATGATGGGTAGGAGATTGCTCAATTTGCAACGTCCTCCTCAGACTCTAGAAGCACTTCGAGAGGAGTTGGTGGTTGCCTGGAATGAGATACCACAGGAGGACATTGACCACCTGATCAGAAGCATACCTAGGCGCGTTGGAGAATGCGTAGCACATCAGGGTGCATCCACACATTATTAAAGGTCAAAGGGCTTTAAAGCAATGCAATCATTTTGAAATTTTCATCATTTACATATTATGCTTCATTAAGTACTTATACAAAATTTTATTAAAATAAAACCATTTAAACTGGGTGTTCGGATTTATATGTCACTTAGTATACTTAACAGTATGTTTCGATTTTGGTCCATACCTTTAATATTTGTGAGGCAAAATTAGCAATCAGTAGTATGGTTTCTCGGTTCTCACCAAACCATTGGTATTGCAAAGGGCATTTTACGATTGTCGCCTCTTAACCAACCTGTTAACAAGGTTACACAAGTCTTACAACATATATGAGGGGCCCATAGTTTATCTTGGTCGCCAACTTTAATTCCAAAATAAAGTTCGTATGCTTTCAACACAAGGGGAGTAAAAGTACGTTTTTGGGATCTAAAAGTTAGCTCTCCGCACACATAACAAAAGCTGCTCACACTATTTACACAATTTTTAGGCATTGTCCATAAAGATCACAATAAACTAGAAACAACACACCGTTTTAACAAAAATTAACAGTACTCAGAACATCTCTTCAACACTGAGAACGTAACTGACTCGGCTGCTATTAGTCTACTAATAAACGCAGTATGGTCTCTAAACATACAGCTCGCATATAGTAAACAGGAATAGACAGGTCTTAACATTATATATGTGCGTCATCGCATAAACGCCGAGAAATGCAGCAACATGAGGTGTTACGTATTGTAATTCATAAAAGTAGGTGTTACCGAATATCTGTGGGTGATAGAAAAACTCTGTTTTCAGATTTGATTTAAGAGTCTCAAGATATATAAGATACACCCAAAAATTGTCATGTCACAAATCCTGTCTTTATCAGTGTTTTCAGTAAAAGTCAAATATTAGAACGACTATCGGTTATTAAAATATCGTGAAAATGTGTTTTAAAAAGAAGACATTGATGCCCTATAATGAGCAAACGAAGCACCTTTGCATAGATGTAAATCATATCCAAACTTCTATGTTTACGGAATATTAGAACAAATGTTACAAATTCGTACCTTGGAACTCCAATAGCCTTCCAGAAGCACTACAACAATCTAGCACATTCGGTCTCTTCGCAGTATCTAACATGATCCTTCTAAAAGCTTTATCAATATCATCGAACTTCTTTGCTTCATCTGGTAGCTGAGCTCGTATATCACCTCCGACGAAAATGCCTTCCAAATACAACCATTTTCGTTGCACCGACAGCCATTCATCTATCACCTCTCCAATGGTAGCCAACGATTTTTCCCATTTCTGTACCACGGGCAAGAATGGTCCAACAAATTGAGATCCTGCCATACTTTGAAGGTTCATAGAATTGTCTTCGAGTACTTGCATGATTTCGTCTGTTGCTCCGATAATGAAGCCTCTGTCCTCGATACCTTTCATGTGTCTGTGCACAGTGAAGCTTATATTAGCCCAAGTGTCTTGTATTTCTTTAACACCCTTTTCTATACTTA